ATGGTCTCGATCTCCTGACCTCGTGATCCGCCCGTCTCGGCCTCCCAAAGTGCTGGGATTACAGGCTTGAGCCACCGCGCCCGGCCAATACTTGTATATCTAAACATGGAAAAGATACAGTAAAAATATGGTGGTTTCATCACTGCTGTGTGTACAGTCTGTGGTTGACCACCACATGGTTATGGGATGTGTGACTGTATTAAAGTTTGCATATAGACAAATAACTAAAATTGTTGGGTTCTAAGGTATATGAATACCCAATTTTGAAAGATGTTAACAGACTTTTCCAAAATAGTTGGACCAATTTAATTCCCAGCAGCAATGTATTAGATATTGGATTGATCTACATCTTTTCTAAGACTTGGTATTATCAGATTTCTTTATATTTACCAATTAAGTTGGTGCAAATAAATCTTACTATGGTCTTGATGTTCCTGGTTATCTAATGCGTTTTAAGAATCTTGATATGCTTCTTAGCAATGTACTTCCTCTTGCATCCTGTTTCTTTTTTTTCTCTATATTCTCCTTGAGTTATTGCCTTGTCATTGACTTGTAGGCTTTTTTACAATTTTTATTTTCTTTCAGGTAAAGTGTATTAAAAGTAATCTCTCCCAGTTAACTTGTCTTTCCCACTTTAAGGTGTTGTTGTTGATGAGCAGGAAGGTTTTGTTATGGTTTATGTTCTTCCATTTGTTTCTGTTTACGAAAATTAGAAGGCCCAGGCCCGGTGCTCAAGCCTGTATCCCCCCAACCTTGGGAGGCTCATACGGGCGGATCACGAGGTCAGGAGATCGAGAACCAGTCGCATGGCTAACACGGTAAACACCGTCTTACTAAAATATTAAAAAAATTATCGGTTTGAGTGGTGGGCGCCTGAGTCAGCTCGGCGAGGCTGAGGCAGGAGAATTGGTGTAAACCCGGGACGCAGAGCTTCAGTGAGCCCAAGATCGCGGCCACTGCACTCCAGCTGGGCGAAGAGGAGACTCTGTCTCACAAAGCACAGATAGGTTGAACGGTATTGTTTTTGTTTCATTTGAGTGGTTTTTTTTGGTGTATGATGTAAGGTAGGCATGCTTTTCATCCTTTTTCCTTATAGATTACCAATCTTTCCAGTTCCATGTGTTGAGTAGTCCCTCCTTCTCCCAATGATCGTCTATGCTACCTCTGTCATATCAAAGTTCGATATATGCTTTTCACTTTTTTTTTTTTTTTTTTGAGACAGAGTCTTGCTCTGTCACCCAGACTGGAGTGCAATGGTGCGAACTCCACTCACTACAACCTCTGCCTTCCAAGCTCAAGCGACATTCCTGCCTCAGCCTTCTGAGTAGCTGGGATTACAGCACGCACCACCATGCCCAGCTAATTTTTGTAGCTTTTGTAGAGATGGGGTTTCACCATGTTGCCTAGGTTGGTCTCAAACTCCTGAGCTCAAGTGATTCTCCCTCCTCGGCCTGCCAAAGTGCTGGGATTACAGGTGTGAGCCACTGTGCCCGGCCCATGTAGACTTAACTCTGTTTCTTGGCTCTTAAATCTGTGGTCAAAGTCTAAATGTAATAAATCCTCCTGGATAATACAAGAATCTTCATCCTACATGTGATGGTTACATATTTTTTCTTTGTTATGTATTTCAATTCTTCCTTCACCCCAGAAGACATTGTCACTATTTTACACAGTGTTCATTCACTTTATCTTTTAAAAATGTATTTATTCTTATACCTCAGAGCTGCTCTCTCAGATCAGTTTCCTTCTGGTTGAAGTGTGTTATTTAGGGTTTCCTCTAGTGATGATCTGCTGGTGGCAGTCTGTTTTTGTTAGGTTGAAATATCTTTATTTTTACCTCATTCTTTTATTTTTTTTGAGACAGGGTCTCACTCTGTCACCCAAGCTGGAGTGCAGTGGCACAATCACAGCTCACTCCAGCCTCCACACCCCCAGGCTCAAGCAATCCTCCCACCTCAGCCTCCCAGGTAGTTGGAACCACAGGCACATTCCACCACATCCAGATACTTTTTGTATTTTTTTGTAGAGACAGGGTTTCTCCACGGTGCCCAGGCTGGTCTCGAACTCCTAGGCTGAAGCTATGCTCCCGCCTTGCTCTCCCAGAGTGCTGGGATTACAAATGTGAGCCACTGCACCCAGCCACCTCATTCTTAAAAGACATTTTTGCTGGGTATGGAATTTTAGATGGGTAGTATTTTCTTTCTGCACAGAAAGCATTCTCCTATTGTCAACCAGTTATCTAACTGCTTTTTCTTGAAGACAATCTGTCTTTTCTCCCCTAGCTGCTTTTAAGCTTTTCTCTTTATTTTTGGTGTTCTCCAGCTTCACTATGTTGTTGCATCTGAGTGTAAACCTATTTCTTTTCCTCCTCTTTGGAATCCCTTGGGGCCCTCATGACTTTATGGAGTAGTGATTTTTTTTTAATTTTTTTTTGAGACAGAGTCTGCCCAGGCTGGAATGCAATGGCACAATCTTGGCTCACTGCAACCTCCGCCTCCTGGGTTCAAAGGATTCTCCTGCCTCAGCCTCCCAAGTAGCTGGGATTACAGGCACCTGCCACCGCACCCGGCTATTTTCTGTATTTTTAGTAGAGATGGGGTTTCACCATGTTGGCCAGGCTGGTCTCGAACTCCTGACCTACGGTGATCCGCCCGCCTCGGCCTCCCAAAGTGTTGAGATTACAGGCGTGAGCCACCGCGCCTGGCCTTAAGTGGTTCTTTTCATTGTATTTCAGACTGAAAAAACGTAAAGTCTGCAACATAAAATGCCATTCCCTACAATGACGTTTTACAATAAAATATCTGTCTCCTCTTCCAGCTTTAGCTCCCATTTCTTCCTCGCTTCTAGGACTTCAGTTAGGCTACTTGGGGGATCTAACTCTGTCCTCTGTGGCTCCTAAACTCCCTCTCTTGTTTCTCATCTGTGTCACTGGGCTGCAATTGGAATAATTTATTCAGAACTATTCAGTTCACTGCAACCTCCGCCTCCTGGGTTCAAAGGATTCTCCTGCCTCAGCCTCCTGAGTAGCTGGGACTATCGGTGTGCACCACCACACCCAGCTAATTTTTTTGTATTTTTAGTAGAGATGGAGTTTCACCAGGTTGGCCAGGCTGGTCTCGAACTCCTGACCTACGGTGATCCGCCCGCCTCGGCCTCCCAAAGTGTTGAGATTACAGGCGTGAGCCACCGCGCCTGGCCTTAAGTGGTTCTTTTCATTGTATTTCAGACTGAAAAAACGTAAAGTCTGCAACATAAAATGCCATTCCCTACAATGACGTTTTACAATAAAATATCTGTCTCCTCTTCCAGCTTTAGCTCCCATTTCTTCCTCGCTTCTAGGACTTCAGTTAGGCTACTTGGGGGATCTAACTCTGTCCTCTGTGGCTCCTAAACTCCCTCTCTTGTTTCTCATCTGTGTCACTGGGCTGCAATTGGAATAATTTATTCAGAACTATTCAGTTCACTAATTCCAACTAGGCGGTATCTAATTTGCTGTTAAACTTATCCATCATGTTTTTAATTATTATATTTCTTCCTTCCTAAAAAAAATTATTTTGTTTCTTTTCCAAATCTGCTAGATGAATTTTATAGGTTTCCATTTGTGGTTATAATTTTTTTCTTTTTCTTTTTACTTTTTTTTTTTTGAGACAATCTGTTACCCAGGCAGTGGTGCAATCTCTGCTCACCTCAACCTCCACCTCCTGGTTTCAAGCAGTTCTCCTGCCTCAGCCTTCCGACTAGCTGGGATTACAGGTGCCCCCAACACACCTGGCTAATGTTTGTGTTTTTAATATAGACAGGGTTTCGCGTGTTGGCCAGGCTGGTCTTGAACTCCTGACCACAAGTGATCTGCCCACCTCGGCCTCCCAAAGTGCTGGGATGACAGGATTACAGGCTGAGCCACCGTGCCCGGCCGGTTTGTGGTTATAATTTCTCACAGCCGGGATCTCCCTGCATGCTTCCCCACTCTCTTCAGTGCCGACACTGCTTTCTTTGTGGCCACTGGAGCAGGGCAGGTGCTTCTCATTCACTCCTATCCTGAGGCTATAGTCAGACGAGGTCCTAACTTTATGGGATCTTAAGGCAGCATGAGAGAGGCAAGGCCCTAAAACTACCCCCCACACCTACTGCACACTGCCAGGCCTGGCACCTCCTTCCTTGAACTGCAGCTCCTCCTCTGCACACAAACTTACAGTAACCTGCAGGCTCTTCGGGTTTTCCTCGCAGCTTTGGGTGGTTTGTTCCTCAGACCTGGGCTTCCTCCTCTAGGTTATGGCTTCTCCAGGGCTGATTTTGGAGGAGTCAGGCCGGTGTTTAGCTAGATTACTCCAGCACTGACGACAGAAGGCATCTCCACTATTGGATATAGTCATCAGGCTTATGGGGCCAAAGAGGGGATTTGAGAGCTGTGTCCGACGTATCCCAAAGGAAGGCGGATTTCTTCTCGAGGCCTTCTTTTCTTTTTCTCTGTCTTGCGTTTCTTTTTCTTCCAGTGCTCTGGCTGATGCAGCCGTGGGGAAGAAGGTCTTGCACGTTCCATACAGAGATTCTGTTTTGACCAAACCGCTCCAGTCAGCTCTGGGCCGGAACAGCAGAACCGCTCTGGTAAAATACCTTTCTTACAACGTTTTACACTGATTCTGCTCTTGTAGTTGTTATTGTTGCTGTTGGGATTAAAATTATTCCCAACACACCTGTAATATAATATAGTACTTCGCATTGACCTAGCCTAGCAATTTTTTAAAATTTTTTAGACGGAGTCTCACTGTGTCAACCAGGCTGGAGTGCAGTGACACAGTCTCGGCTCACTGTAAGCTCCACCTGCTGGGTTCAAGTGATTTTCCTTCCTCAGCCTCCCGAGTGGCCGGGGCTACAGGCATGCACCATCGCACCTGGCTTTTTTTTTTTTTTTTTTTTAATTTTTAGTAGAGATGGGTTTTGAACTCGTCTCTACTAAAGAGTTGATGTTAGTAGAGACGAGTTGTTGGCCAGGCTTGAACTCCTGATCTCAGGTGATCTGCCTGTCTCGACCTCTCAAAGTTCTGGGGTTACAGGCATGAGCCACTGCACCTGGCCTTGTTTTGTTTCCCCCTCAGGACTAACAAATGATGACCTACCATTATCTCGTAACTTCTGGTCCTCTAGTACAATGTCCAATGTTTCTATATTACTAATTTTTAAATTTATTCTTTTCTGTAGTTTAAGTTCTCTACAAGGAATACACGCTACTTTTATTATCAGGAAAAAAACTAGTACAATTAAAAAAAACAACTGGCAATGTCATGTCATTCTAAGTTAGCAGAGTCGTTCCCCGGCAAGGCTGGAAATCAGTGTGACTGTGTTTCTTCAGCCTGGAGAGTAGCTGCACCCGTGTTATCTCAGCAAAGGCTCTGGAATCTCATTATCGAATGTTCGCCAAGTGGGCACAGCGTGGAATGTGTTAAAATCAGGACTCTGCTCTTCAGCTTCAGCTGCAGGGAGGGACAAAATGTGGTGAACTCTGCCCCCAGCCCGGTGCTGGCCTCCACTCTGCTGCCTGCTTAGGAGAGAAATGCTCCCTGTTGGGACCAGTTACATGCATTTCTCTCCAAAATCCACAGTAAAACACACCCTTACTCTTGATCACTTAATCCTGTTTTCAATACTTCATTTTAAAGTTTTTCTGGTTGTCAGTTACCTGTGGGTCTCAACGGGACATCCCGCCAAAAACCTGGGACACAAGAAGGAACGTAGGATGCTCTCTGAATGTTAACCTACAAGATTCAACCTAGCGGGTCTCAGCAGATGTGTGCAAAGCCACTGAGACCCGCAGCACGACGCCCGGACCTGCGAGACTTGACAGGGGCTGCCTGATGGCAGTGCAGTGCTTTAACAAAGGAACGTGCTCGGGAGAGGCTGAGGGTGGCATCCTTCATCTCGGGAACCTGCAAGCTTTAACAAAGGAGCGTGCTCGGGAGAGGCCAAGGGTGGCATCCTTCATCTGGCATCCTTCATCTCAAGAAGCAAAAAGAACAGAGGACCTGCAAGGTCAACAGCCAAGCTCTCCAGTCTCTATGGCGCCAATCCCAGTTTTAGCACGAGTGTCTCACAGCCTTAATTTTTAGTGGTGATAATAAAAATCCACCTGAAAATATTGCCATGATGATTAAATGAGATGACGTAAACGAACAAGCTTTATAGCTGTGAAGTTAGACAAACGTAGATAATCACTTCCCGGGCTCCCAGTACTCTGGGTCATGGGCCTCCTGGCCTACAGAGGATGTGCTGCTACATAGCAGCTGCCACAGCCACCCTCAGCCACCCTCAGTGATCTGCCCACCCAATCATCACAAAGTTTGCTTCTGATTTGAAAACTTTTCTGAATTCTGGAACAATCAATCCAAAGTCAAGGCCGGGCACAATGGCTCATACCTCTAATCCCAGCACTTTGGGAGACCGAGGTGGGCGTATCCCTTGAGCCCAGGAGTTCAATGCCAGCCTGGGCAACATAGGGAGATCCTGTCTGTACAAAGAACACAAAAATTAGCCGAGTGTGGTGGTGCATGCCTGTAGTCCCAGCTACTCTGGAGGCTGAGGCAGGAGGACCACCTGAGCCCAAGAAGTCGAGGCTGTGAGCCATGATTGCTCCACCATACTCCAGCCAGGGTGACAGAGTGAGACCCTGTCTCAAAAAAATATAAGTATAAATAAAGTCAACAACCAGACTTGAAACCATACAAGTGGCTGTCAGGAAATGAGCAAGGTCTCTGAGGCTAGCATTCAACCGTCACTCAAGCCCCTGAGGGAGTCCACAGAGGACTCAGTCCTGAGGGCGGCCAGTCCCGCGACTGGCAGCACAGGTATGAGTTAGGCAGGGGTAGGTTCGAGCCCCAGCTTAGCAAGTGGCCTCAGGCATTCCTCTAAGCCTCCATTTCTAAACTGTAAAATTGGAACAATATAATAAATTACAAGATGCCAAACTGTTCTGTGAATATGAGCTGCTTTAATAACAATAAATTCCTCTATTAGTAACAAAGTCTGAATGGGATGTTTTTACAGATTGCGGCCGTAAGTCCAGCTGACATCTGCTATGAGGAAACTTCATCAACACTAAGATACGCGGAAAGGTACGTCTGAATATTTATCATCCATGGTGGTTCTATGTTCTAAATCTAGCAAAGTCTTAGTGCTCTTAGACTGCAGGGGTTGGCACTGGGAAGGGGGTACGGGAGGAAAACGAAACGACGTGAGAGAGAGGAATGAAAGGAACTAAAACACGAGGGGAAAGAATGGAGACCTGGAGCCTCGGGGCAGGGCTGTGTCACTGGGTCCTGGATGGGAGCAGAGCTGGGGGCTCAGGGATGGGGGTGGCGCGGATGCCAGTCCTGACGTGATTGGCCTGATCTGTCCCCGTGTTTTCCTGCCGAATAGCACGGCTGTTTCACAGCTTTCTCCTTCGGTTGCACAGGGCACGGGTAGAGAACTGCCGGATAGCACGGCTGTCCATAGCTTTCTCCTTCGGTTGCACAGGGCATGGGTAGAGAACGGTGCCAGGCAGGGGATTTTTGTGCTAATGACAAATGAAGATGAGCTCTGTAAGCGACAGCTTCTCGGTCAGAGCCACTTGCGGCGCCGCCCTGCAACCCCTGCACAGACCAGCTCTCCACACTGTCAGTTACTGCACTTCCCAGGGCCCACACCGCACACTGCAGTCTGGAGGTGGCCTGATGGCCACAGGAGTCACCAGGCGGGGGGGGCTGTCACTGCCAGGTTCCTTCCCACCCACCTGGCTGGGAGACAGGCCCACTCAGTCAGCACTACGGGAGGCTGCCACCACGCCGAGTTCCTGCCCCTCGGCCTCTGCAGCTCCTTCCAAGCCTGCTCTCCTGAACCTTCTAAGAAAGAGAGGCGTGGGGAGAGGGGAGTCTGTGGCCACGGTAGGACCCTCCCCACATGCTGCCCTGCTCCTCCTCAGGCGAAGGCCAGCCTTGGGAATCTACCAGAACAGCTCCCCACCGAGTCTGGGCAGGAGCTTGGGACTGTCAGACCAGGTTCTGGGCAGCTGGAGTTGGCACGTGAGGTGAAACTGACTTGCCAGCCCTGATATGTCATTCGCCAGGTCTCGGGGCTTAGAGGTCAGAGTCTGGCCCTAGCAGCTGTGACCATGGGCAAGAAATAGAACCTCTCCCCCATCCCGTTACCCTGAGCCAGCATTCCTCATTCTCAGCACTGGGGAGAGCTCTGACCGCGGGAGGTAGGTGTGAACTGTGCTCAGCAGAGTTCTGCCTGGTGTGTGAGGGAGGGTGGGGAACTGTGGTCACAACGATGCCACCCAGGAACTGCCTCCCCTTCTTTTCTCTGGCCCTCTTCTCAGCACAAGAGCACTTGCATGTTGGTGACAAATGTCTTCCTTCTCATTCTTCACTGCACAGCCTCAGTATTGTGTCACACCATAAGGCATTTTCCTCCAGCATCTGACACAAGCTCAGGTTTTATTTTTATTTTCTGAGATAGGGTGTCACCCTGTCACCCAGCCTGGGGTACAGTGGCACATGGCATCCTCAACCTCCCAGACTCAAGTGATCCTCCCTCCTCGGCCTCCCAAAGTGCTAGGATTACAGGTGTGAGCCACCGTGCCCAGTGCAAGCTCAGAGCTTTAGATCGAATTTTGCCTTAAGCGGTATCCAGAACGTTTGTTTTTTCCCTGCTTATCAGGTGCAAATCTGTGGCTCCCAGTCTTTACAGGAGAGACCATGTGATACAGAGGAAAGAGAAAATGGTGCCCACAGCCCGTGGGACTTGTAAACTCTGATTCCATCTCCCTTGTGTAAAATGAAAGGGGTACAGTTACCAGATTTAGCAAATAAAAATACAAGGTGCTCAGTTACATTGAAATTTTGGAGAACAAGGAATGTTTTACTGTATATCCCATGCAATATTTGGGGGCATCTGTTTTCTCTGACAACATTGGAAGGAGTGACCTGGAACACCTCCGAGGTGCCTCCCAGCCTGGCGCACGCGCAGAGCGGTCCCGACAGCCTCCAGGCCAGGAGTTATTTCAGCAGCAACAGGGATTGGGCAGGTTCTTAGGTTAACCAAGTCAGCCCAATTGGCTGAGTGTGTTCAGGTCCCAGGACATGTCAGGGGCTGAGGCCCAGCCTGGCTGAGCTGCTCGTGTTTATTTGAACTGTGCAGGTGCTTCAATCACTTTGGTCTTAATGGTTGAATGGAACCAGACCCGGTGTGGAATCTCAAGTCACCTGGGGCAGGGGGCCTGGGGGTGCTGCTGCTCGGGCAAGGGGCTCCAGGCCTAAGAGTGTGTCCATCTTTGCACATGAAAGGGCTAAAAAGATCCGGAACAAAGCAGTGGTCAACACCTGGACACTGATGAGAGAGTCAAGGGCGGAGAACAGCAAGCTGCTGCCCAGATGTAGACACTCCATAATGTCAGGTAAACCGAGTCAGGGGCTGATGCCCTGAGCAATGGGGGGGTCTGACCTGGGCTAAGCCTGGGGCCGGGGGTGGAGGGAGCACCTGGATTCGAATCTGAGGCAGTGGTTGGGGCACAGTGGGGGGCATAGTGGGGGGCACTGGGGCTTTGTCCAGGATATTGTGATTCCATCCTTTAAAAAAAAAACTTTGAGATAAATGTAGACTCATTTGCAGTTGCAAGAAATAATAGCCCTAAATTTTAAGATGGTCATCTTACTCTCATTTTTATTGACATTTTATTTGGTATTTGAGACAGGGTCCGCTCTGTCACCCGGGCTCGAGTGCAGAGGTGTGATCACCACTTAGGACAGCCTTACATCTCCTGGGCTCAAGCAATCCTCCTGCCTTGGCTTTGCAAAGTGCTGGGTTACAGGCATGAGCCACCGCGACCAGCCTCATTTTTATTTTGAGGTCATTGTTTCTCCCAGGATGTTTTTCCTTACCGGATTTGGACAGTGGCCACCTGATGTCTGCCCACTGAGGGCTTCCTGTGGAGAGATGATGCCAGAAGCCCATTGAGGGTTGGCCACCTCCTCCAAGACAGAGTTCCATCCTGGCTGTGCATCACAGCCGCCTGGTGACAGGGCTCCCCCCAACCTCATAAACCGGAGTCCTGGGCAGCTGTCAGCCCTAAATCCGCCTAACCTCATAAACCAGAACCCGGGCAGCGGTCAGTGCTAAATCCGCCCAACCTCATAAACCAGAATCCCGGGCAGCCGTCAGCGCTAAAGCATCCCAGGTGATTCCAACATGCACAATTATCGAGAGTCCCTGTGATAGGTGAAGGCCTTCGATCGCAGTTTGGCAGCATAAAGATATATATCGTTTTATGCTCATTAATGATTTAAAATGAGATGGACAAAAAGGTAAAACTACTGAGGTGAAATTGGCACGAGCATCCGATATCAAAGCAACAATATCAAACGGGCTCCCTCCCTCCTGGGGGCCCTCGGGTAGTGGCGGGACCTCCTGCACCCCTTGCCCTACCGGTCATGCCAGGCTACCCAAAGGACGTGTGGCTCAGACAGAGGGTGGGCCAGCCCCGAGCCCCACCTGGCCCTTCCCAGGCACACGACCCGACTCACTGAGGCTTCACTCTCAACAAAGCACTCCCTAAATCAGAATCAGTGCGCACGTGTGTGTGGCTGGCCTGGGCCTGGCTTTGCCTGTCGCAAATCTCTGTACCATCCAAACCTGCCATGCCAGATGTGGACCTACACGTAGCACGTAACCCGTAACCCCCACTGCTCTCCAGCAAAGACACGGACTACGTGGAAAACAGTGTAATCCTATGATTCTTCCCGAATCCCCCGACCCCATGGGAGTTCCCCGTAGCAAGAAATCATGTGAAATGCCCTCACAAGCCCGAGCAAGTACAAAAATAAGAGAGCACTGAACTCCTGCCTCCCCCTTAAAGGACCTTCTTGCCCTAACGTCTTACGAATTAGGAGGATAATTAGTCCTCTTTGTAGGACTTACCAAAAGATCTCGTCTTCACGCATTAGCGTGGTGCATTCCTGCTGCTGCCGGGATCCCGGGCTTTGAGAAACGAGCGGAGACTCCCTGGTTATCCCGCACCTCCCTTTGACACTGCAGACCCCCTGCTTAAAAAGCCTCCCTCCTTCCAGAGCCAGAGCCGTCAGCCTGTCTCCGGGCAGAGCCGCAGCTGGGGACTCCTGCTGATCAGGCGACCTGGGCACACCTGCTGGAGCAGGCCCAGGTGAGCTTCACTCCCGGCACCTGCGGAGGCTGAGTGAGCCCAGGGCAGGGGGCCAGGCCCAATTGTGTCGAGGCTTTTTCGGTGAATGTGTAACGTGTGACTGGTAATGATGCTACTGGCAGAGCTAGGGAGAGAACATCAACGCATGCAAGCGAGGGAAGCAGGGTGGCCTCGGTGCCTGGCGGGGCGTGAGGCTGGGTATCGATCCTGGCATTTGCTGATATCACACCCTAAATGGGCTATGATGTGAATTTCGGCCTCCCCTCGCCACCCCGGCTTCCACCCACCCCACTCCCTGTGGCCACAAGGCCCTGGGAAAATCCCGAAGTCGAGAATCAGACCTGGAGTACTTGGGGACTGGAGCTGGGGATTCAGGAAGCTCACACTGCCTAACCACGGCCTCAGGGCCTGGGGGTGGAGCAGGGTGGGGTCTGTGGCATCAGGAAGCCGGACGGTTAGGGCCGTGCTGAGTCACGTTCTGTGTAAGTGGTGGCTGGGACTCTCAGCATCAACGGTCAAGTAGGGTCACATGGAGGAATACGGGATTTGGGGTTCTGCATATACAGTAAAATTGGAAGGATTTTTGCTCTGCTTACTCTTTGTCAGAGAGGATTTCAAGCTGTAAAAGTCTTCCTCATGCCTGCATAATCATCCCCGTTTTGTTTACTGTTAAATCCCTACCCACCATACCCATCCATCCTTGTGTGGATGAACGACATGTGTTCAGGTTCCCAGGCCAGGGTTCGTGCCATACCCCACTTTTTGCCATCAACATCTGGTTCTCAACCAGCCAGCAGCACTTCGGGAGAGTGAGAGGCTGCATGGAGACCTGGGGAGGGGCTGCCCAGGCGGGGGACGCAGACAGCTGGGGAGAGCAGCGGGGAGAACGGCTTCTTGGAACTGTCCCATCCAGATGTACTCGGACTCCTGACGGCTGGCCCGCCTGAGACTCCACCCCGCCATCAACACTGCCCCAGCCCCTCTCAGCTTTTCTCCCTCCCCAGGCGGGCTGACCAGGTGGATGGAGACGGGAAAGAAGTATTGCTCTGCCCAGTGGGCGGGTGCGGACTGGCGATGCCCACCCTCTCCACTTCTCCTGCAGGAGCGGCAGATGATGACCTTCCCTCACCTTAATGTCAACGAGGACCCACAGCTCACCGGGGTCCTCAAGTACTTCATTCAACCTGTAAGCTGGCCGGCCCTGTCCCTGCCCTGCCTTCCTCTCCCAACCCTCCCCCTGTCGTGCACAACCCTGCCACTCCCCCTGCCTCCCCTGCCACCCAGGCCCACTCCCCTGCCCTCCCCCTCGCCTCCTGCCCCCACCCCGCTCGGCCATGCCTCCTGGCCCTCCTGCCCCACCCCGCTCCCATGCTCGCTGCCCTTCCCTGCCCCAACCCCCCTCCCAATCCCTCCCCTGCCCTCCCTGCACGCGCGCTCCCCATGCTCCCCCGCCTCACGCCTGCCACTGCGCCGCCTCCCATCTCGGCTCCCCCGCGTCCTGCGCCACAGCGGGGCTCATGCTCGCCCTCCGCCCCATCTCCTGCCCTCCTGCCACACCCCGCCTCATGCCCTCCGGCCTCCCCAATGCTCCCCCTGCCCTCCTGCCCTCCGCCCTCCCATCGCCCTCTCCCGTCTCCCATGCTTCTTGCCCCACGGGCATGTTTCATTTCTTTTCTTTCTTGTTTTTTAAATATTTTTCATTTCAGTAAAATATACATAAAGTTCACCATTTTAACCATTTTAAGAGTACAGTTCAGTGGCATTAAGTACATTCATATTGTGTGACGGTCACCACTATCCATCTGCAGTACATCTTCATCTTCCCAGACGGAAACTCTGTACCCATGAAACGCAAGCTGCCCCTCCCCCTCCAGCCCCGGGAGCCAGTGTCCCACCTTCTGTCTCTGTGCGTTTGACGATGGGGACCTCAGATAACCCCTCCCCCTCCAGCCCCGGGAGCCAGTGTCCCACCTTCTGTCTCTGTGCGTTTGGCGATGGGGACCTCAGATAACCCCTCCCCCTCCAGCCCCAGGAGTGTGTCCCACCTTCTCTCTCTGTGCATTTGACGATGGGGGACCTCAGATAAGGACGTTTTCATCTTTCTCTGACTGCCTTATGCCCTCAGGAGAATGTCCTCAAGGTGCATCCATGTAGCATGTGTTGAGAATTTCCTTCTTCTTGTTGAAGGCTGAAAAACATTCTCTTCGATGTATACAGCACGTTTTATTTATCTATTATCCTGGCATGGTTCTTGTTACATTTTTATTTAGCGGTTTCTAAGGAGGGCGTCAGCCCTTAAGCTGTCTTCCTGACCTAAATGAACAGGCTGGAACACAGCGCCCAGAACCTCAAGAGCCCCAGCTTCCCCTCCCCAGCTGTGCACCCCAGGACGGCCGTGAGGGCTCCGTGTACCCCAGGACGGCCGCGAGGGCTCCGTGCACCCCCAGGACGGCCGCGAGGGCTCCGTGCACCCCAGGATGGTCGCGAGGGCTCCGTGCACCCCCAGGATGGCCGCGAGGGCTCCGTGCACCCCCAGGATGGCTGCGAGGGCTCCGTGCACCCCAGGATGGCCGCGAGGGCTCCGTGCAAGATGGCCATGGGGATGTGGGGATGTGGAGGGTGACGTGTCTGCACTCCTTGGGGTCAGTCACTACACAAAAACGGAGCTTCAAACACCAGAACCTCTCCTATGGCCAGTATTCAGTGGGTCTCCTAAGGCTCAGGCCTAACGGTTTCTTCTTCCAGAATGCTCATGAAGAAGGTGGAATTTTTAAAGTTAGGAACTCCCCCCCACTGCCCCACTACACACACATTCCCCCCCAACACACACACATTCCCCCCACACACACATTCCACACACACACACACACACACACACGGCAGAAAGAAAAGTATGTCCAAGTACCACGATGATTGAAAATCCCAATTGCAGAAATCCCTTCAGTGCCATCCCACTGTGGAGAAAATGTCACGTCCAACACATCAGACATGTTAACTTCTTAGGGTCAAATTCTGAAAGTGATTTATTTTAAAAATAAATTATATCTTGATTCTTTTCAGGTTCATGTGACGCCGGTCGGGCTGCCTCAGATGCCATCACGATTCAAGGTTTGGGGTGAGTTTCCATGCGTCAGTGTCCTCGTCCAGCATGAGAGAACTGTGACCCCTCCATCTAGACAGCTGCGAAGCCACACAGTCTGCAGGACCAGCAGGGCCACTTCCCAGGTCTCCCCGGGCCACCCACTCCAGGGCCGGTCTGAGAAAGCTGAGGGCCGGGCTTTGGTCCGCTGGCTGAAATCCAGGGTGCAGTGCTGGTTTGCTTCCTGGGCTCCAACCCTGGGAGAAAAGCGAAAGCTGGTTTCTAGGTTCTGTGTAATAATTCTTCACAAACAGATGTAAGTAGAGCTGGCCAGGGAACGAAGGGAGCTGAACGAATACGCCCACCAGGGGTGGCCCAAACATAAGCGCATCCTTGGATCTCTCCTGGTGCTTGGCGCCCTCACCCACTGGACTACAGAAAGCCCAGACTGCGGAGTGACCCCAAGGGCTCCCTCACGAGGCCCCTGCAGGAGCCCTGGGAACCCCATGACGGGCCTCCCGCAGTCAAGTGCTGTCCCCAGCTCTGTGGCTGCCCTGCCTGGGGGGCCGCTGCTGGAGGGTCCTCCTCCTGCTTCCAGCTCCCCTCCCCGTCGGGAAACCCGTGGGCCTTCGTGGCGGGAGGGGTGCTGACCCAGGGCCGGCGGACCCCACCTCATCCTGCACTGCCAGCCTCCTTCTCGGGACACCTTCCTGGGGATCCCCTCAAGTCCCTTTCCAGAACACGTCCTCAGTCTAACGCACAGGTGCGTGAACGTCTGAACTCCAGCGAGGAGGCTGACACCTTTCCCACAGGATCCCTGGGCCCCACGCAAAAAAGGGTTTGGATGAACATGGTCTCCACATCCAGAACATTCCGTGATGGCCAAGGAGTGCAGGAACATGGAGCATGCTAAGGCAGGGAGCCAGTCATTCAGGACATACAGATGACATCCGGTGCTGGGGAGTGGGGTGGGGAGGGGGGACGCCAACCTGACACCCCTGACGTCCAGCCCCAAATGTGATAACATAAGGTCTGAGTGTGTACGGCGAGGATGCAGAAACAGCCCCAAATGTGATAACGTAAGGTCTGAGTGTGTACGGCAAGGACGCAGAAACAGATCAAAATCGGATAACATAGGGTCTGAGTGTGTACGGCGAGGACGCAGAAACAGCCCCAAATGTGATAACGTAAGGTCTGAGTGTGTACGGCAAGGACGCAGAAACAGCCCCAAATGTGATAACGTAAGGTCTGAGTGTGTACGGTGAGGACGCAGAAACAGCCCCAAATCTGATAACATAAGGTCTGAGTGTGTACGGTGAGGACGCGGAAACAGATCGAAATGTACCTGGAGTAGGTGAGGCTCGTTAAGAGTCGCCTCCTGAGCTGAGCGTCTCTTCTGAAGCTTGCTTGCTGCCATTTTCCCACCACCCCATCCCGCTGGCCTGGGAGGGTGAGGACTCCAGTGTGGCCTTGGCCGGCTCCCCGCAGCGCTGGGCCTGCAGCTGGTGTTCGTTCTGTTAACGAAGCCCTTGCCTGCTGTCTCCCAGCTCCCCATGCCCCCCAAGCGCAGGGTCCATCGACACCTGCTGCTTTCCCCATGCACCGTGAGCCACAGCACACAGGAGGCCCCGAGATGCCACCTGCCGTCCTCGACAGCTGTAGATCTTCCCTTCTGTGCAGATGAGAGAGATCAGCCTACCTGCTCACAAAAGCCGCCACTGGCTGGGCGTCTTAGACTGACTCTTGTCTTCTTAGAATTTCAGATAAACACGCTTCCTTCACAAATGCCGACGGTAAAGTGACGGTCACTCCACACAGCAAATGCAAGGTTGCCGTTAACGGGGTGCCCATCGCCACCAGGACAAAGCTGCAGCATTTGGTAAACTTTCCTGCAGGCCCACAGAATGTCCTAGGTCCCCCCCAAGAGCTGGGAGGGGACAGTCATGTGAGGTGCCCACATCAGACGTGGCAGGAAGGGGCGTTCACACTGGCTCCTCTGTCACCATGGTCCGGGGACGACATGGCACTGCTGCTGGAGGGACAGAACTGCTCCTGACTCGCTGTGTGCTCTTGGGCAAGTCACTTCACTCCTCTGACCTCACCTGGAAAACAAGGAGGGCTGAACTAGGTGTTCTGCAAGGTCCCTTCCAGCTCCAACATTTTGTGCCATTTTAGATGTTTCTAAGAGCCTGTCGCTGAGAGGGGTTGAACAGCATCTTGCAAACGTCGCTGCCTCTTCCTCTCCAATCTGCCAACTCTGGGGCCCCTGCCAGCTTCCCAGCAGCCCTGGCCCCTCCCTGGTGGCCAGAGCCTTTCAGACAGGACAGGCACATGGGGACTGGCCACTCCCCTTTTGGAAAGCTTCAGTGACCTCCCTCGGCCTCCTGTCCCTGGCCACACCGCCCTTCTTTTGGTTGTTCAGCAGCTGTCTCTGCCCCACCAAGACTCACCAGCCGGGAGGGCTTAGCTTAAGCATCACCCCTCAGAAGAGGCCTTCTCTAGCCTACAGTCTGCGTTAGTCCCCGGTGTCCCCGCAGCCACGGCTGCACTCGCCCAGCCCAGCCTGGAAACGCGTGGAGGGAGGGCCTGGCTCTGGGTGGTCCCCACAGACCCCCAGGGCCAAGGGAGTCACGCCCTCAATGTGTGCGATGAAGGTGAATGCAGGAGCCAGACGCCACCTGCCCTCCTGTCTGGGTCTCTCCCTGTCTGTGGGATTCCTGAGGGAAGGACATTCCTCAGGTCCTTCTCACTGGGGAGGTTCACCTCACCCTCCTTGGTCTCAAACCCCTCCTAAGCCCACCATCTCCTCCCCAGGACCGCCTGATTTTGGGATCCAACAGCACCTACCTGTACGTGGGATTTCCTTCGGAGCGGGGCAGTGAAGACCTGAGCAGGTTCGATCACGACTTCTTCCAGTCGGAGAGGGCAGCCGCGGAGGGAGTCAGCGCAGACAAACTCGGTGAGCCCCTCCTGACTGCTGGCCTCTCCCGTGTGCTGATCTGACAGCAGCGATTTCACACTCTGTCTCTCTGCTTTCCTTAAGAAAATCATCATTTGTTTTGTCAAAGTCTAATGTTTACAAAATTGAATTATGATTTCCATATAGAGTGAGTACACGTTAAACATTCAACTCGTTAAATGACGAATGAGGGTAAAGATGGTTCAAAGGGATAGAGAAGAGAGTGGGGTACACAGCAAATGAGGAAGAATGCTGAGCTAGAGAAGCCGGTGAGTGACCTCCGGCCGCCCCCAGGGGCCTGCTGGGCCTGCAGAAACAGTGGCCCAGCTCAGGAGGGGCCGGCTGGGGTCTGCTCTGGGCTGGAAGTGCATGGCCCAGAAGAACGCACAACCGAGGCCTCTGAGACGGAATCTCCCCTTCTCCTCTGAACGCAGCCCTCGGCAATACCCGAGGCTGGCCGCCCGCCGCTGCCTGTCTCCGCTGGGGCTTTCACAGGCCTTCCTGCTCCTCTTCCCAGCCCCGATTCACTGTGCTCCGGGTGGTTCCCCCAGAATCCGGGTGAGGCTAGAGCCCGCTGAGATCTCAGTGGTGTGCCGGCTTCCTGGAGGGGCCCCAGGCTTTGCTCAGCGGTGGGACTGTGCCTGAACTGGCAGTAATGACACCGCTGGTGGAAAGTGGGCAGACCCACCTGTGTGTATGCACGAGTTCCTCCCTGTTCCCTACACCACAGTGTTTCTCTCAGAATTTCGGCAAAATACATCGATTTGAAATTCACCTCCTTGCTCTTCTGCTGCCGAAGTTCTCAACTTTTAAAAACGAACCAGGCCGGACGCGGTGGCTCAGGCCTGTAATCCCGGCCCTTTGGGAGGCCGAGGCGGGAGGATCACGAGGTCAGGAGTCCAAGACCATTGCAAACATCGCTGCCTCTTCCTCTCCAATCTGCCAACTCTGGGGCCCCTGCCAGCTTCCCAGCAGCCCTGGCCCCTCCCTGGTGGCCACAGCCTTTCAGACAGGACAGGCACGTGGGGATTGGCCACTCCCCTTTTGGAAAGCCCCTCAGTGACCTCCCTTGGCCTCCTAACACGGTGAAACCCTGTCTGTACTAAAAATACAAAAAAACTAGCCGGGCGTGGTGGCGGCGCCTGTAGTCCCAGCTAGTCAAGAGGTTGAGGCAGGAGAATGGCGGGAACCCAGGAGGCGGAGGTTGCAGTGAGCTGAGATCGCGCCACTGCACTCCAGTCTGGCGACAGAGTAAGGCTCCATCTCAAAAAAATTAAAAAAAAAAAAAAAAACAACGAACCAGCAAGACTCTGTCATACCAGGCCTGGAAAAGCCATCTGTTCATTGACTTGCTCTCTGAGGTTGACTGTGCCGCTGCCCTTGTGGCCCTGGTGGCGCCATGAAGCTGAACCAGCCCCAGACCCTGGCTCGGACCCTAGTGAAAACTTGGGTCCCCAACAAGGCAGCAGCTGTGTGAGCCGTTTGGGGTCACACCTCAGGGCCAAGGGCACTGTCTGCACCCACAGGCCGGGGGGTCTCTAAAGAGTTGAGATTTGCTGATTAGAGGCAGTACCAGCCTGGGTCTGGGAGGGAGATTGATCCTTCCATAATTTCCACAAGCCTCTCCTTCAAGCCATCCCAAGTATAAGAGAAGCACAGGTCGCTTGTGTGCCAGCAGCAGCTGGAGGTCACCTCCAGGCCTTGTGTCTAGCCAGCCATGTCTCACCTCGCCCCACCCTCCTCCAGTCTGAAGCCACCTTGGCTCAAGGACCCTGAGACCAAGAATGGGAACTGGGAGCAGAGGGTCTGCTGCCTGCGGCCAGGATGCATGGGTTGAGATAAGCAGCTACATAAGGAGAAGTCAGGCAGTGTTGTTTTCCCCTCAGTTTTTTTTTAATTACATGCTTGTAATTTAAAAATGTAGATATTTGATGAACAGCTGAACGAATGAACAAATAAGCATACAAATTTATTCATGGTGACTGGGCATGGTGTCTCATGCCTGTAATTCTAGCACTTTGGGAGGCCAAGGCAGGAGGATCGCTTGAACCCAGGAGTTGAAGACCAGCCTGGGAAACAAAGTGAGACCTCATCTCTACAAAATATTTAAAAAATTAGCCAGGCATGGTGGCTTGCACCTGTAGGCCCAGCTACTCAGAAGGCTGAGATGGGAGGATTGCTTGAGTCCAGGAGGTGGAGGCTGCAACGAGCAGAGATCATGCCACTGAAGGGTAGCCTGGATGACAGAGCGAGAAAGCTAAAAAAAAAAGAAAAAGAAAAAAAAAAAAGGGCCTGGTATGGTGGCTTATGGCTGTACACCTCTAATTCCAGCACTTTGGGAGGCCGAGGCAGGCAGATCACCTGAGATCAGGAGTTCTAGACCAGCCTGGCCAACATGGTGAAACCCCATCTCTACTAAAAATACAAAAATTAGCCAGGTGTGGTGGCGCCTGCCTGTAATCCTAGCTTCTCGGGAGGCTGAGGCAGGAGAATCTCTTCAACTGGGGAGGCGGAGGTTGCAGTGAGCCGAGATGGCGCCACTGTACTCCAGCCTGGGCAACAAGAATGAAACTCTGTCTCAAAAAAAAAAAAAATTATTCATGGTGGAACAAGTGACTGACTTTCACCTCCCCTGTGATTGTTGCCAGGTGCTGCGGACCGTGGAGACGGCAAGGCAGACCCCAGTGTCCTGGCTGCGTTCCAGGACTACATCAAACTGATGCCGCTGGTTGCAGAAGCAAATCAAATGAGTGAAGAGCTGAAGAAGGTAATTTAGCTAGAGCCAGGAGCTGGTATGCCAAGTGCCCCTTGTGGGGCAGGGGCGCCTTCTCAAGGACTCTCAGGGAACTAGCGACAGAAGCCAGACTGCCCAGCCCAGTCCCGAGCACCATTCCTTTCACCAACAGCCTACCAGGGCCATCAGGATCCCAGACCAACTCTCACTGGCCATGAGCAGGCCCTCCCAGATGGTCCTGGGGCCTCTCCGGGTCTAGGCACCCTGATGGCTGCTGTGCCACAGAGACCACCCGGGCCGGGGACAGCTCCCTGGAGACATGAGCTCCCATCGGCCGGAACCTTGTAAGAGATTTAATCAATTTGGTAGGGACTCCAAGTGTTAGTTCCAGGATATATCGGAGAAAAACTGGTGCTCTGTCCTTCCTCTTAGTGGGAAACCCAAGGGGCAAGAGTGGGACACCTTCTTAGAGAAAGTCTTATCCATTCGTTGTTTAGGAAGCTGGAGGGTGGGAGGATGAAAAAGCAATTGCAAAAGTGGTATGAGCTGTGAATGTAGGATTTTTTTTTTTTTTGACAGGGTCTCACTCTGCTGTCCAGGCTGGAGTGCAGTGGTGCAGTCGTGGCTCACTGCAACCTCCACTTCCCAGGTTCAAGTGATCCTCCCACCTCAGCCTCCCAAGTAGCTGGGACTACAGGCGTGCACTTCCATGCCTGGCTAATTTTTGTATTTTTAGTAGAGATGGGGTTTCACTATGTTGCCCAGGCTGGTCCTGAACTCCTGGGCTCAAGCGATCCACTCGCCTCAGCCTCCCAAAGTGCTGGGATTACAGGTGTGAGACCTGTGCCCGGCGAATGTACAATTATTGAGTGAGAAGCGTTTCTTTTACCAGGGACTTAACATGGAATTGAAGGTGAAGAATTTGGCATCATCAGATTCCAAGGGCTATGACCTACAGAAGGAGGTCTTGGTGAAGGTGACCCACCACGGGACTCACGAGGTGAGGCCCCGCAGGGACGGGACTCGGGAGGGGAGGCCCCACAGGGACGGGACTCGGGAGGGGAGGATGGGGGGACGGGACTCGGGAGGGGAGGATCCGCGGGGACCGGACTCGGGAGGGGAGGATCCGCGGGGACACAGGTTACCTTTACCAGCTGCAGCCTCCGGAGACCCAGTCACGGGCAAAACGTATTCCAAGTGTGAGCTGGAGCTCTGGGGAACAGGGGGATCGACTCTCCCGTTCCCTGTCCTGGGTCCTCCCTCACAGCACCAGCCATTCCCTGTCCTGGACCCTCCCTGGCAGCACCAGCTCCTGGGAGCTTCCGAACCTACCCTGCACTGAGCATCTGTTCATGCTGAATATGACTCAAAGGCTTTGGTACCAGAAGGGGGCCTGGTAGTGGTGTCTGTGCATGTACATGTGTGTGTGTACATGTGTGTGTGTACATGTGCACGCGGGAGCACAGACTGCCTGTCCGCAGCAATGAGAAAAGCCACCCTCCTAGGTGCTCCAGAAAAGGCCGTTGCACCAGCTGCACTGGCTGATCCACTGGACCTTACTGTCAGGAAGGTCAGTTTTAGAAACTGAAGACCCTGCTTCCTCTCCCTCCGCCTCAGAGGAGGAAACAGAAAATGCAGGCCCGTCTTGCAGTGCCCCTTGTGCACATCAGGCCCCTGGAGCAGCCCTCAGGCTTCGGGCTCCAGCACACTCAGCCGTAGCCCTGCCAGGCTGCGCCTCCGGCCCCCACCCCGGGCTGCTCCCTCCCTGCTCAGTAACTGGAGCTTCACTTTTCTGCTCATCTGCTCATTGCCTGAAAATTGCCAAAATGTTCTGGGCCAAGACTGATTTTTGTAAAGCTTTTAAAAATTGTGAAATATGTGTGTTCGTGCCATGTGGTCAGCACCTGTGCACCCACCACCTTGTCCATGGGGGTTTCGCCCTCCAGATGCTGGGGCTGGGCTGCCAAGACCCTGCCCCAGGGAGGAAACCGAGCAAGGATCCTCCTGGAGCCCAGCTCCTCAGAGACCGGCCCCTTTCCTGCAGGTCTGTGTGATGTGGAGAGGGTCTCCCATGAGACCCTCACCCTGGGGAGTCAGGCTGGACTTCTCTGCCATGTTCTGTGAGGCCGTGGGAGGGGATCCCTCAGTGTGTTTGTACTTTGCATTTTTCTTTTTTTCCAGCAAAGGCCACTGGGGCAAAGTGGCTCTGGTGCCCCGATATTGTATGTGCTTCTTTCAGGCCAGGCTTTCCCCTAGAATTTGGCTTGGCAGTTTCCTGTCTTGTCAGACCTTGTTTTAAGAAAATTTGTAATTCTAAAAAATCCTTTTCTATGCTATTCTATTTTGTATTATAGTCTAAGATAGTTCGAAAAATAGCCTTTTAAACTATTGCTAGCAGAAGGGTTACTGAGTGCACATGAAGGCACTCGTGAGCTCCTGCTTGTCATTACCAGAAACAGGACAGGAGACGGAGTTTTCACACTATCATTGGGAGAATTGTATGGGAGGGCTGAGGGCCTGGATTCAGGTGAAATGTCATTTTCCTTCAGCCCAGCATCCTGTCACTGGGACAGGCGGCTGTTTGACAGGACTGTCACTGGGACAGGCGGCTGTTTGACAGGACTGTCACTGGGACAGGCGGCTGTTTGACAGGACTGTCACTGGGACAGGCGGCTGTTTGATAGGACTGTCACTGGGACAGGCGGCTGTTTGATTGGACTGTCACTGGGACAGGCGGCTGTTTGATTGGACTGTCACTGGGACAGGCGGCTGTTTGATTGGACTGTCACTGGGACAGGCGGCTGTTTGATAGGACTGTCACTGGGACAGGCGGCTGTTTGATAGGACTGCTTCTGCTTAAACACACCAGGTTCTCTGTTAAGGGGTTGTACAGTTTGTTTTTTTTTTTCCATTTTTCTCATGAAGATATGAGTCTTACCAATCTGTCATCCTCAAGACTGTTCATTTTTACATTAAAACAAGTAAGATCAGGCCCGGCACGGTGATTCCCATCTGTAATCCCAGGATTTGGGGAGGCCAAGGTGGGTGGACGGCTTGAGCTCAGGAGTTCGAGACCAGCTTGGGCAACATGGTGAAACCCCATCTCTACAAAAAATACAAAATTAGCTGAGTATGGTGGTGAGCACCTGTAGTCCCCGCTACTGGGGAGGCTGAGGTAGGAGAATCACCTGAGCCTAAGGAGGTCGAGGCTACAGTGAGCTGTGATCACGCCACTACACTCCAGCCTGGGTGACAGAGTGAGACCCTGTCTCAAAAAAACAAGCTTAGTGCCAGTGACCTGTCCTCAGATGAAACCTTGCTTTCCTCAGGAGGCTTCTGGAAGGCTGTAGTCTGAGGGTCTCTTGTGACATGGTGTGTAGTTGGAAGCTTCTTGAAGGCTGTGGTCTGGGGGTCTCTTGTGACATGTTATGTAGATGGAGGTTTCTGGAAGGCTGTGGTCTTGGGGTCTCTTGTGACATGGTGTGTTGATAGAGGTTTCCAGAAGGCTGTGGTCTGGGGGTCTCTTGCGACATGGTATGTAGATGTGGGCAGTGCATGTGAGACAGGCACTTCTGAAGACTAGAAGACCAGCAGAGACAGCTGTGGGTCCCAGCTAGACACACGAATGGTACTTTGCTGGCTGATCTTGTACGTGTTCGCCTATCCTCCCCGCTGACCGTGTGGACGGTGACTGCTGCTGCAGCTCTCAGGGAGGACGCAGTGTTGTGCAACTGTTGGAGTCACACATCACAGACAAGCCCAGGAGCAAACCAGGGCTGTGTGAGGGCTGGGGAGGGTTTTCTGACCGGCAAATGCTGCCAGCTTGTGGTTACTTTTCAGCAGTATTCACCCAACAGCTGTTGGCTCTGGTGAGCAGCACATCCCACCAGGGAACTCTGAGTCAGGCCTGCAGAGCCCACCCGGGAGCGGGCGGGGGTCAGCATGGCCTCGCAGCCAGTCCCGGAGCCTCGCTGACCTGTTTCCTCCTCAGGCCAAGGATGACATGCAATTTTAACTGACACCAGGCCTGTGGTCTGATATCCATAGGTAATGAGGCAGTGAATTCATTTATTATCTAGATTCCCATGATCTTAGTTCCCTAAAGTCTTTAAGAAAAAGCAGCATAAGGCAGTGCAGTGGCGCATGCCTGCAGTCCAGCTACTCAGAGGCTGAAGCAGGAGGCCCGCCTGAGCCCAGGAGCTCGAGGCTGCAGTGAGTTAAGCTTGGGCCACTGCACTCCAGCCTGGGTGACAGAGTGAGATCACGTCTTAAAAAGAAAAGAAAAACACACAAACAGAAAAACCACAATGACTAGAACTCCCGTTGTTCCCTGCCGCCCCACATTCTTTTCTTTTCTTTTTTTGAGATGGAGTCTCTCTCTTTTGCCCAGGCTGGAGTACAGTGGCGTGATCTCGGCTCACTGCAAGCTCTGCCTCCCGGGTTCACCCTATTCTCCTGCCTCCGCCTCCCGAGTAGCTGAGACTGCAGGCGCTCGCCACCATGCCCGGCTAATTTTTTGTATTTTTAGTAGTGACGGGGTTTCACCATGTTAGCCGGGATGGTCTCGATCTCCTGACCTCGTGATCCGCCCTGCCTCTCGTGATCCTAGACTGCCTCTAGGAGAGTACTATGGTTCTTCACTTTGAGGCCAACAGAAAAAGATGCAATGTTTTCAGAGTCCTGAGAATGTCCTTTTTATGAAGAGACATCATACATAGAACGACTTATCTGTTGATTTTCGCTGTTCAAGTTGCCCAGAAAAGGAGTTGCTAGTTTTACCTGACATTTATGGCCTAAAAATTACCTACCTGGAATCCCTTATACTGTGGCTTCAGGTTTTGTCCCCTCTCCAGAGCCAGTGTTGACAGAGGCTCTGTCCTCACCCAGTAAGGAGGAAGACAGTGGCAGGCTGTTGTCCTGGATCTGCTGCGCACTGGGTGTGAACCCCTGAACAGGGAAGGACACCTGCTTGGGTCCCTGCAGAATGAAGCTCAGAATGCCTGCCGTGCTGGGCCGGGAGGGCTGTGGGAGTGTCTCCTGTGCGTGTGGATGTGTGCCCGTGTGCCCAATCACGGCGGGATGTGTGCCCGTGTGCACACCAATCATGGCGGGGGAGCCACCTCTCAGCTCTTCTCCAGACTAATAGCCCTGCATCATCTTCCATGGTTGCTGTTAATGAATGACCAGGCTCATTAAATGGCACAAACTTACTACCTTATTGTTCTACACAAGAAGTCCAAACTGGGTCTCACTGGGCTAAAAGCAAGGTGTCGACAGGGCTGTACTGCTTTCTGGGACTGAGGAAGAGAATCCGTTTCCTGGCCCTTTCCAGCTTTTAGAGGCCACCTCCCTCCATCTTCAAAGCCGCCACATGGCCTCTCTCTGACCCCGCAGGCACTGTCATCTCTCTTTCTGACCCTCTCTTATGCCTCTCTCGGCCACACTGAAGACCCTTGTGATTTCACTGGGGCCACCTGGATACTCCAGGCTAATCTCCGTATTTGAAGGTCAGCTGATGACAAACCTTAATTTCCGTTTGCCATGTAAAGTAATATATTCACAGGTTCTGGGGATTAGGACTTGGGCATCTTTGAGGACCATTCTGCACATCACAAGCCCAAACCTTCGTTTCTCCTGAGAGGGTCTGTTTTCTGACCCCTTCACCGTCTCCTCTAAGTCATTTCCTAGGCTCAAGTGATGCTGAAGCAACAGGTCCAGGAACGAATATGGTATTCTTGACGTCAGCAAAGCTAAGTTTGGAGAGAGTGGGATGTGGCCATGAGTACCTCAAACCCAGTCAATGGAGGGAGTGTGCTGGGAGAAATCAGAGTGATGAACTGTTAAGAGCAGCAGATGAAATCAAACACTGGTGACATACCTCTGTGTTTCCAGGTGTGGATATGGTCAAAAGCCAAGTTCATCAATAGGAAATTCCTAATGGAGGAACTTTACCAGCGCTTTCTAGATGGAGATAACAGCCCTGTGGCTCAAGAAGACGACCCTTTCTGGGATCCTGTCGAGGTCGTCCACTTGGGCTCAGCTCACGTCTGGCTCCAGTCGCTGGCCTACTGCATGAAGCTGGAGGAGCAAGTGGAGTTTCTGAACTGTGATGGGCTGGAGGAGGCGGTGCTGCACATCTGCATAGCACCCTGCTCCCCGACAGGACAGTGAGTGTCTCCTTCCCCTGCCTACTTCTGGGTCAGTCACACACAGAAAAGCCGGAGCAAGCCTGAGTTCTCTTGATGGGTGGTCAACTTGGTACCCTGAACAGGTCATTCATAAGACAAACGAAAGAGCTCATTCACCATTTGGCCTCAACAAATTTGAATTTTGCTATCCCCTGGGGACCTAAGGAATGAGGAGGACATCTAGCAAAGAGGCAGGTGTAGTAGAAAGAGTCCTGGACAAAACCGAAAGAGCTGGGTGGGTTCCAAACAATGGACCCTCAGGAGAGAAGCCAGGTGGACTGAGGGGCCTCCCCAGCCACACTCCCCTCCTGGCCTGGCATCTGCCGCACGGGACGCTTTCCCATGCTGAAGTCCCAACCTGCTTCAGGAGCCAGAAGTAGAAGCTGATTTTCCAGCTCAGCCCTTTTCTTGAGGTAGGGACTGTGAAGCCCGACCTCATTCTGTGCTGTCACCTGACCTTCCTGTGGGCACAGGCTTGTTCTGAGCTATCAGCTCTGTCCTACACATTGCCTCCTTACCCTTTACTGTCCTTTCTGGATACTCATCTGCTTTCCCTCTTTAGGCCACAGGCAGTTTTTACAAAAGCTAAAGTCTTTGAGCAATCCTAAGCCAAGAGGCCGGCGGGGCGTGGTCTGGGTGCCAGGGCCCTCACAGGCACTCAGTGCAACCTTTCCATCTTTCTGAAGAAGAAATCAGCTCAAGAAGAGAACCTCAAGCTTCCATGACCAAGAAACCAAGCTGCCCAACAACTCACTGCCTTTACCCCAAGCAGCGCTCTGATCACTTGGCTACCTGGAGCTTCTGGGCTGCCCAGCACATTGTATTTCCTGTTGCAAATTAATGAATTTAATTGGAAAGGTTTAAGACTTTGCGAGCCTGGTTGATAGGACAGCAGTCCCTTGTTGGAAAGCTGTCCACGTCAGTGTCTGAGCTTGTAGGCCTGGGGTTCTCTCTTGACTATAAAGAAACAGAGGAAAAGGAAAATGACAACCGGAGAGGCTGCATCTGGGCGGCCGCTGGCTTTCCCACTCTGTCCCACTGGGGATCTACTTAAGTCTTCAGTGTGAGTTTAGCATCCACATCTGTGTGCATCTATCGCATGAGACTGTCTTCCTTTTCCTCCAGGCAGGGAGATCCTTCAGAAGGCCTGGTCTTACTTTGACGTGCCAGGGTAATGGGCTCTTGTTTAGTGCCTCTTGAATGTATGAATGAACTCTACTGTTGGTGATATTACCTATCCTGTCTTCAGTGAAATTAGCTCTCTCTTAAGGATTCTATTTAATCCCCTTAACATCACAATCTTAACTTGCTTGGACCCAGCCTAACCCGAGGTCAATGTTCACCTCTTCTGTTTGTAGAACGCATGGCGAGGAGGATGTGGTTATCGACCCTTTGGAGCTGCTAGGCAAGAGGATGGATTTTCAGATTCACATTGTCCGGTGTCTTGGTGTCAGCTGGATGAAGGAAGATGCAAAGCGGGGCATTCAGATAGGGTGCCAGCCTGCACCGCGGAACAGAGCCACACATGTCATCTGCCATGTGGCCCCTGGGGGAGGCAGCCCAGTCTTCCTTCAAGTTTTAAAAATGAGCTTATCACAAAGTTTTCTTAAGTTTCTGTTTAACTTTAAGATGACTATTTCCTCATCTATTTAATAGAGGAAGTTTCTCTGTTTAAGATGACTATTTTCCCTCATAGTTTCTCTGTTTAACTTTAAGTGACTATTTCCCTCATAGTTTCTCTGTTTAACTTTAAGTGACTATTTCCCATCTATTTAATAGAGGGTCCACATGCCTCTCCAGGTCTCTGGCCTGTGGTCAGTGTGTACTGAACTTTTTACAGAACTGAAGCAGAAATTCTAATTATCAGAAAGAATATCCAGTAAAACTGTATTATCTTTTTTTTTTTTTTTTTTTTTTTTGAGGCAGAGTCTCCCTCTGTCGCCCAGGCTGGAGTGCAGTGGCCGGATCTCAGCTCACTGCAAGCTCCGCCTCCCAGGTAAAACCGTATTATCTAAGCAAAACAGTTTTTTGGTTTTAGTTGGAAACAAAAGGACCATATTATGATATGGCAGAAGCATCAGATATGCTTAAACAAACTAGGCTAAAAGGATATTGAAAGATAATGCAGGCCAGGTGCGGTGGCTCATGCCTGTAATCCCAGCACTTTGGGAGGCCGAGGCTGGCAGATCACTTGAGGTCAGGAGTTTGAGACCAGCCTGGCCAACATGGTAAAACCCCTGTTCTACTAGAAATAGAAAAATTAGCCAGGCGCAGTGGCATATGCCTGTAATCCCAGCTACTTGGGAGGCTAAGGCAGGAGAATCGCTTGAACCCTAGAGGGAGAGGTTGCAGTGAGCTGAGATCACTCCAGCCTGGGCGACAGAGTGAGACTCCACCAAGAAAGAAGAGAAGAGAAGAGAAGGATGGTGACGGGGGGTAAGGGAGAGGAGAGGAAGAGAGAGAGAGAAAGAGAGAGAGAGAGAAGAAGAGAGAGAAAGAGAGAGAGAGAAGAAGAAAGAAAGAAAAAGAAAAAGAAAGAAAGAAAGAAAGAAAGAAAGAAGAAAGAAAGAAAGAAAGGGCAATAAAGGGAGACTCTGAAGAACAAAACCAAATCACTGCCTCACATGGAAAATTAACCGTTTTTGATTATCTAAGTAGAAGGGATTTATTGAAATCCGTTTTGCCGTTTTTTGTTTTTGAGACAGAGTATCGCTCTGTCGCCAGGCTGGAGTGCAGTGGAGTGGCAGCAATCTCAGCTCACTGCAACCCTCGCCCTCCTGGGCTCAGCCTCCTGAGTGGCTGAGAACTACAGGCATGCACCACCACACACCACCGAATTTTGTATTTTTTATAGAGATGGTGTTTTACCATGTTGCCCAGGCTGAATTCCTGGGCTCAAGCAATCTGCCTGCCTCAGCCTCCCAAAATGCTGAGATTACAGGCGTGAGCTAATTGCGCCCAGTCTGGCCTTTAAAAAATTTTATTATTTATCTATATAGTGATGATATCCATGTTGAACAAGGGTGCTGGAGGTTGATAAACATGAAAATCAATCACAGTCATTCTTTATCTGACACATGGGCTGTAAATCCTTGGCTCATCTGTCCCTTTTCTTTACAAATGTGTCCCTTCTGGTTTTAAATTTGTTTTATGTTCTTCTCAGGTTACAGAATTGAACGACCTTCCAAACACTATCTATATCAAACCTGTATGGAGAAGTGTGAATTCCACAAATCGAAGAGGAGACTGTCAATTTGCAGCCTTAACTGCATCTCAGGAGTTTCTGAATTATCTGGAGACAAACGCCCTTTACTGTTTACCTATGGGGCCTTCAAGGCACCTTGCTCACGTATTCTCTCATCAGATACCCACCCATTACATTGAGGGCTGCAGAACGAGGGCAGAAGGAGCGAGGCAGTCAGGGTCGTCCTAACAGCGGTGGGCCAGAGCCATCCATTGAGGGCTGCAGAAGAGGCAGAGTGGAGCGAGGCAGTCAGAGTGTCCTAACAGCGCGGTGGGCCAGAGCCATCATTGAGGGCTGCAGAAGAGGCAGAGGAGCGAGGCAGTCAGGGTCCTAACAGCGGTGGGCCAGAGCCATCTGTTCCCCTGGGCTCCCGGGCTCTCGCCCAGCAGGGTGGTTACTTTAACAACTTCTCACACGACACTGGAGCTGGGCGACTGGGATGCTTCTTTCTTTGCCTGTGTCTCTCCCCACTACAGAAGGCTGCACCGAGCTGAGCTGCTCTCAGCTGGGCGTCATGGTCACAGGTGAAGGCCACATCCTGGTAGACACCAAGAAAATTTCCACTGTGAAGGATCCAAGCCAGGTGTGTACATATGACATTAAAATGGGCATCCCAGGTGGCTAGAAAATCTCTGACAGCTGCTTGATGTTCCGTCCCCCTTAACAAATGTTTTCTTTATTTACTCCTGTGTACCCTGAGGTGCTTAAACCCTGCTCACCATACACACACCCCCGTCCCATTTGATTTTCCCATGGTAGCAAACATTGCTGGTCTCAAAGGATATGCAGATGATACAGCAAAAGATGAAACTGACATGTTTTCTCGTAGGCAGCCTCAGACCAGATACCAGAACCTTATCTGAAGCTGCTCAAGCTAGAGCAGGAGACAGAGCTGCTCAGGAACATCAACAGAGCCCTGAGAGAGGAGAACGTGCTTCTCAAAGAATCACTTGCGAAAACTGCTTCTGGGCAAGGTGAGAGGCTGCTCCAGGCTTGGCTGTTTAGCTTATTCCCTGCCTCCTACATTTGGGATGTGTATTTGTCTTTTAATAAACAAACTTTTAAATGAGTTAATTCACATCTTGTTTCATAAACAGAAAAGGCAGGACATTTCTTTTCTTCTGCCCTGTGAGATTTCTCATTTCCCTTGGATGGATCCAAACTGGTACCTGATAAATGCTGATGTAGTAGAATGTCACCAAAATAAATAAATATAGCGATGCCCAAAGAAAGAGAGCCATACATCAACACTGCCTTTTCTTTCCGCCTCAGCCCAGAAGCCTTCCGACACTCTGAAGGTCAGCGGGATGACTGCGCAACTGCCCTCTGCCAGGGAGACGAGTCAAATGTGCACACAGCAAGCCGGCTCCGACCGAGAACTCGCCCAGGCTCTGAAGGTGTTCTACCAAAGCATGAACGCGGCAAGAGGGCAGCTTTTCAGACTGAGACGGTATAAACCTCCTGTAAGTAACTGGAATCCCGGGAGCACACAGAATTTCTTTCCATCCAATTTAGACATTTGATGTAACTGTACTTCCTGAGCTTGGAGATGTGTGTGCTGATCTGGAAGAGCAAGGCCAGGAGGCCTTGCTTGACCTGCTCTGTGAGCGCGAATCTACCGCCCTCTCAGGCCACCATCCGTCTCTGCTCTGACCTTTTTATTTTAGTGCCACATCCGGCTGCTTCCATGCAACCATGTCACTGCATGATTGAAATCCATTCACTTTACAATACAATATACAGACTACCCTGTTCGGTTTATCATTATAAAACCAAATGTAATTCATCATATTAAGAGACTACAAGATAAAATAATTTGATGACTTCAACAGATGCAGAAAAAACATGTGACCAAATTAAACATCTTATGACAATAAAAATTCTTGGCAAACTAGGAATAAAATGGACATTCCTTAATCTGATAAAGGCAATCTTAAGACAAACACACAGTGGACAAAATGCTTAGTGATGAATGACTGAAAGCATTTCCTTTCAGATCAAGAGGTCAGGAACGCCAGCTTTCTTGACATCTGTCCTTTAGGTTCTAACCAGTGCAGTAAGGCAAGAAATACAAAGTATGATTGGAAAGGGAAAGAAAAGTAATTACAATAATAGCATACACTTATGTAACACTAAGTGCTTTACATTTACTGACTCGATTCTCGCAGCAACTCTATGAGGCAGGTACTATTATTCACCTTATTTTACAGTTCATGGAACATGTTTAAAGACACATCACTAGGCCGGGCGCAGTGGCTCACGCCTGTAATCCCAGCACTTTGGGAGGCCGAGGTGGGCGGATCACGAGGTCAGGAGATCGAGACCATCCTGGCTAACACAGTGAAACCCCGTCTCTACTAAAAATACAAAAAATTAGCCGGGTGCGGTGGCGGGTGCCTGTAGTCCCAGCTACTCAGGAGGCCAAGGCAGGAGAATGGCGTGAACCCAGGAGGCGGAGCTTGCAGTGAGCCGGGATCGCGCCACTGCACTCCAGCCTGGGCAACAGGGCGAGACTCCGTCTCAAAAAAAAAAAAAAAAAAAAAACACATCACTCATCTGTGGCAGGGCTGAGGTCCAGACCCCAGTTCCCGAGTCTATACTCTCCCACCACACTGCGCTGCCTCTAGTATTATCCCAGATGACATGCTTGTACAGACAGAAAATCCCCAAGAATTTATAAATGAATTACAAAGTTGCTGGATACAAAAATCAAGATTTAAAAATTAACTGTATTTGAATATAACAGCAGCAAGCAGAAAATTACTTTTAAAATAAAAGACACCATTGATAACTGCATCAAATATATGGAATACTTAGGCCTATAGCTGACATTAAATATGTAAGAGTTGTATGGACAAAATTTTAAAACTTATTTGAGAGATGTTTGAAAGGATATAAATAGATAGAGAAATTGACATCTCTCTGTGGTTTGGAAGATTTGTTACTGTACATCTGTCAACTCTCCCCCAAGAGTCAGTGTAATTCCAATGAAATGTAATATAACCTAACAAGATAATTCTACAATTTGTATGGAACTGCAAAAGCAAAACCTAGCCAGGATGAGAGCAGACCCAAGAAGAGGACAGAAACACTTGCCCTACCTGACATCAACACTTCATTTCAATGCCGCTGTAACAGAGGCAGTAAGGTATGGTGTTGGCCCAAAGATAGATAAATCACCAAAGAAAAAGAACAGAAACTCAGAAACAGATTTATTCAGGACTACAGACTTGATATACAAGCAAGAGGAACTGCAAATCAATGTGGCAATGATGGACTTTTCAATAAACAGTGCTAGGGGAATTAGGAATATGTATGGGGAAAAATGAAACTGGATTCCTATCTAAAACTACCCCAGAAATCAATTTCAGGTGAGAATTAAAGAGCTAAATGTGGAAGGCACAACCCTAATGCTTTTATTTATTTATTTATTTATTTAAGTATTTTAAAAATAGAGATGGGGTCTTGTTATGTTGCCCAGGCTGGTCTCGAACTCCTAGCTTCAAGCGATCCTCCAGCCTCAGCCTCCCAAAGTGCTGGAATCACAGGCATCAGCCACCACGCCCTGCCTCTAATACTTTCAGAAGATACTTTAAGAGGTTGTCTTTATGACCACACAGTGGAAAAGGATTTCTTACATATCACACACACATGTGCACACACACACACACACACACACACACACACCCCTAGCTTTAAAGAGGGAGACTGGTAAGTTCAGCTGAATTAAAATGATGAACTTTGTCCATCAAAAGACACCAAATGAAAGAGCCAGAAGGAATGGGAAAAGTTCTTTGTAACACATTTAACATAGAATGAACTGATATCCAAAATAAAGAACTACTACTACCCAAAAAGAAAAATAGACAACCCAGTAGAAAAAAAAAAACGGTCAAAAGATTTGAACAGGAACATCACCAAAGAGGAGACTAAAAATGCCAATCAATACATGGAAAAGTGCTTCATCGCATTAATAGTTTGGAAAATACTACCTGATACCACCGTGAGATACCATTATTAACCTTCCATACTGGCAAAAACTGAAAAGCCTGACAATATCAAGTTTTGGTGGAGACATGAAGTAACAGAAACTCTCACGTATGGCTGAGAGGAGTATAAACTGGCACAACCATTTGAAAATTATTTGGCATTTACTTATTAAAAGCTGAAGATACTAGAATCTAGAAGCCTGCAATCCAGCTCTTCCCTCCTTCACGGGCGAACTGGTTCTGCAGAGACTCAAGCCCTAATGCCTCAGGCAGAGGTTCTCAAGGTGAGCCGTATGGCCTGGCAGCTTCAGCAGCATCTAGGAGCTTATCAGAAATGCAAATTCCAGGGCCTCACCCCAGACCTACTGAATCAGAATCTCTGGGTGTGAGGCCTGGTAACATGTGTTTCAACAAACCCTCTCCATGATTCTGCCTTCAAGTTGGAGAACCTGCTGCACTGAGGCATCTGGCGTACGAAATACGCTCACTCTGTCAGACACGTCTAGGACGGCACTAGTTACACAGCATTCTTGAAAGAACAGAGAAAATAGTTCTTCAGACCACTTCTGTTCTGTGGTTCAGATGAGGGGCCAGTTGAAAAACACGACCGCAATCTTAGTTCATGTGCACTGCTGTTCTAAAGCCCTCTTCCATAGTAGCCCCAAACCGGAAACATCCCTAATATACGTTCACAGAAGGCGGTAAATGTTGGCCCCTCTATGCTGTGTAACACTACAGTGCCATGAAAATAATGAACAACAGCCACAGGCAACAAGAACAGTGTCCCAAAAGTGATGGAAACCAAGTTACAAAAGATGACATCCAATGTGATTCTATAAACATCCAAAGAGGGCAAAATAGACTGTTCAGGGATATACTCCAGGTGGCAAAACTACTGAGAAAGGCAAGAAAAAGGGGACCACACAAGTCAGGCTGGCAGCTGCTTCTGGGACGGGGAGGAGGTGACAGGAGGCGTTCCAGGCAGTGGGATCTCTAGAGCAGGTGTGTTCACTTCATGCCGGCCAATACATTTAGGGTACTTTTCTGGTCTACGTATCTCAGAATAAAAAAGAATAACTGGTTAAATGAAAGACCCCATAAACAGAGTTTCAAATAAACCACAGCCTGGAAAATATATTAGTATTATTTAGCAAGCATTAGTATTCAGAACAAACAATTACTTTTAAGATAAAAAAGATAATATGTTGGAAAGCACATTAGAAAAAAATCGGCAAAGGATTTGAACAGGCATTTCGCTAATACTCAGGGAAACAGAAACTGAATCCCAGTGCCGCGTCCTACTACCTGCTCTCCGCCGTTCTCATCTGCAGCCAGTGCGGTGCCATCTCCTCCGCCATCTGTCTCCAGGACTCTGCCCCAGGCCATCCCCAGTTCTCAGGGGCACTTGTTCCACCGGTCAGGGGAAGCACTGGCAAAACCCTACCAATGGGGAGCTCCCACATCCACTGGCTCCTTAAGACTCCTTTAGTACTCCTTTGACAGTGTAAAACACTATGTCAGTAACATTCCAACTGAAAATATCTGAATTACCTCGCTCGTTTTCCCTACTGGCAGTAACTTAGGGTCATCTGAAACACAGCCGCTCCGAGGTGACGCTCTGCCTCTGCTAGCAGCTTTCAAATGCAGTTTTCTATCCCTGAGGGGAACTTACTGGGCACCCCACTCACATACACACAATAGTCTTTACTCTGATGACATGAAGTCTATCACTATCATTTTTTTCACTTCTTTTTTTAGGAAGATGATCAAATGCTTCGACCATTCGTAAACCAACGGTCACAGATGTTTAAGGATTTGGGGGATCTACTTGAATCCAGCTTGTGGAAACTGAAAAAGGATGTTGCTCTTATAGTGAAAAAGAAGAGAGAATATTTACTGCATGTCAAGTAGTGAAGACACACCAACTAAAAACTGAAGATATTCAAGCTTCAAGTTGTGAAGATGATTTGTGTAGCTAACAAGCTTACCTCATTTCCCACTTACTTTACCTATTTCTTCTACCAGTTTTAAGCAAAACCTTCTTTCCATGTGATTGTAAATCATCTCTGTAACCTAAAGGCTGCTTGAATGGCCCTCCGTTCCTGACGCATAGAGGGGAACCACACACACTGGGGTCTATTTGAGGTTGGAGGGTGGGAGGAGGGAGAGGGCGAATGATTAGCACTCGGAGCTCTGGGATCAGACTGCCGAGGTGAAATCCCGGTTGAGTCCATCACTTACTAACTGCAGGATTTGGGGCCACTGACTTTCCCTCTCTAAGCCCCTCTTTCCTCATTTGTTTTACGGGAAGGATAACAGTATTTATTGCAAATGGTTAATGAACGTAAAGCACTTAGAACAGTGCCTGAAACACAGACGTGATTGATAAGCATTCACCATTAATATTTTTATGGTAAACAGTTCAAAACTTCAAATGAAGCTCTTTTATCTATATTGCTTGCTGTCAGACCTACAGACAATGGTTATTTCATGTCTCTCATTTTGTATCTTGCTCTGAGCAAGTTTGAATTCTACCTCTACTTATTATTCTCTTCTCATAAGTTTATCTGAAATACTGTTATGTTCGATTTTTTCAGCAGCAGGAGTGCCCGTATGATGGGACCTTTTCAGTGTAGGGTCTGCGGTTCAAGGATTATAACTGTTAGTGAAAGCTCTGTTAGGAGTTAGTCTATCTTGAAGCCAATCTTGATTCCACAAATTGACTGATGGGTGTTAGTCAAGGATATGATAACAAGCTCAACACCACTGATCATTAGAGAAATGCAAACCCAAACCACAATGACACCCTCTCACACCAGTCAGAATGGCTATTACTAAAAAGTCAAAAAATAAAAGATGCTAGGCTGGACATGGTGGCTCATGCTTGTAATCCCAGCACTTTGGGAGGCTGACGCAGGCGGATCACCTGAGGTCGGGAGTTTGAGATCAGCCTGACCAATGTGGAGAAGCTCCGACTCTACTAAAAATACAAAATGAGCCGGGCATGGTGGCACATGCTTGTAATCCCAGCTAATCGGGAGGCTAAGGCAGGAGAATCACTTGAACCCAGGAGGCAGAGGTTGTGGTGAGCCAAGATCGTGCCATTGCACTCCAGCCCAGGCAACAAGAGCAAAACTCCGTCTCAAAATACAAACAAACAAAACACAGATGCTGGCAAGGTTGCAGCGAAAAAGGAATGCTTACACACTGTTGGTGAACGTGTAAATTAGTTCAACCGTTGTGGAAAACAGTGTGGCTATTCCTCAAAGACCTCAAAACAAGTACCTTCTGACCCAGTAATCCCATTATTGGGCATATACCCAAAGGAATATAACTTGTTCTATTATAAAGGCACACACGTGTGTATGTTCACTGCAGCACTATTCACAATAGCAAAGACATGGAACCAACCTAGAAGTCCATCAACAGTAGACTGGATACAGAAAATGTGGTGCATATACACCACGGAATGCCACGCAGCCATAAAAAGGATGAGATCATGTCCTTTGCAGGAACATGGATGGTGCTGGAGGTCATTATCCTCAGCAAACTAACGCCAACTAATGCAAGAACAGAAAACCAAATACCACATGTTCTCACTTATAAGTGGGAGCTAAGTGACGGGAACACATGGACAGAGGGGAACAACACACACTGGGACCTGTCAGAGGGTGGAGAGTGGGTGGAAGGAGAGGGTCAGGAAAACTAACAAATGGGGACTAGGCTTAATACCTGGGTGACAAAATAATCTGTATGACAAACCCCCTTGTCACTTTACCTATATAACAAACCTGCACATGTACCCCTGAACTTTAAAAAAAAACAAAAACCTTTTGGGGCCAAAGACAGACTTCTTCTTCTTCTTCTTCTTCTTTTTTTTTTTTTTTTAGACGGAGTCTTGCTCTGTTGCCCAGGCTGGAGTGCAGTGGTGTGATCTCAGCACACTGCAACCTCTACCTTCTGGGTTCAAGCAATTCTCCTGCCTCAGCCTCCCTGAGTAGCTGGGATTACAAGGCACCTGCCACCAGGCCCAGCTAATTTCCATATTTTTAGTAGAGACGAGGTTTTACCATGTTGGTCAGGCTGGTCTCGAACTCCTGACATCAAGTGATACACCTGCCTTGGCCTCCCAAAGTGCTAGGATTACAGGCATAAGCCACCGTGCCCAGCCCAAAGACTTCTAATAACAACAGTAGTGATAATGTTGAAACTTAGTAAGTGCTTACACCATGTGCCAGGCACTAATCCAAGTGCTAACCATGTTAGCTCATTTATTTCTCACAATAATCTGATGAAGTTGAGTAACTTGCCTAGGCCATTGTAAGCACAGAGGCTGATGCCAGGGCCTGCATCCCTAACCATGATGGCCTGCTGCCTGACGGTGCAGGACCATACCTGGGAGTCCTGGCTGATATGCAGAAAAAATCAGGAAGGAGAAAATAAGGGGGTGACAACCTCACTCCTTGCTCCCTAAAATACGAAGTTAAGGAAGTCAAATGGGATGACGCTGAAGCTGCACTGGCAGGAGAGGCTGTCAAGGGCTCCAAAAAGGAACCTCTCTAGAAAGCCAAGGGAATCCGGGCTAGTGATTTCAGCTTAATAGCAGGGTCCAGGGATTCGTACGGGAGGCATGGGTTTTGCTCGCAGCTCAGGTCCTGACCACACACACAAGTGAACTGAAAAAACTGCTGTAACCGTGGAGCCCACATGTGGAGCACCTCGTGGTGACAGCCAGGACAGGGTCAGCAAAGGCCTCACAGAACCCTGGTAAGACTCTGTTAGTGAGACACAGCAACAGTAGAGGCTGGGCAGACTCAGTTCAAAAGACAGAAGCCATTCCTACTCCCAGTGGCCAGGCCGAGGGAGGTCTTTTGAACTGAGCCTCAACGTTTTTGACAATTAGCAGTTTACTCACCTGAGGTGAGTCATATACTTTCAGCAAATGGGAGCAGGCAGAACCTTGGGGGATTAAAAGGAAAATCAGGACGAGACACACACGTACCTCAAGCCAGAGGATGGGGTCACACTGCTACCTTCAGAATCAGGGTCAACACTCGAGCATACATTGCAAAAGCTAGAAACAGGGACAGGATAGCTTCACCTAGCGGTTCCCAAATGCGTATCAAAAACACGGAGGCTCCGACCTCCTGACCTCCTGAATGCAAACTCCTGGAGGCACTGAGGAACCGGGAGGCACTGAGGAACCGGGAGGCACTGAGGAACCTGGAGGCACTGAGGAACCCACTGCTGTTCTGTGACTCGGACGTGCAGCTCGTCGCGGGCTCGATTGCTCCAGCACCACTTTCTAATTTTAGAGCTGGTAAAACCTTTCCTAAGGTCCCACAAGTTAGGGCACAGCTGAGGATCTGTATCTTGTGACGACCAGGCCAGGACAGAGGAAGCAGAGGTAGGCTGGGCAGTACTGCCACCAAGAATCCCCGTCGTCGAGTTAGATACCCCCCTTCTTCTTACAGGCAGAGCAGAAGGGTCTCCCAACACGAATCATAGTCCTAAATATTTCATGTTCCTCACTGTTTATAGAAATTCCATAAAGGAGTGGCTGTCTTGTTTAGGTAACGAACAATATGATCGCTCTGTATATATGTGTTTATTATATGCTTATTACAAAAGGAAAAGTCTTTTGCCTTATTTTAGGGCTTCCATGTAAAACCTAGTTAAAATACAAAAAGTAAATTAGAGAAAAATTCTGCTTAGGTAGTGGAAATTGACAGCAACTTACAAGCTGTATCCTTAAACCTAGTCACAGACATAGAATTAGGTAAAGATAAAATGATAAGCCCACTTATTGGCAAGAAACAGGTTAGGCCACTTAAGCAGCACGTTTTTACCACTATACAAATACGCAGGCAGGTCCAAACATTAAACCACCATTCAATTGACAACCCTTTATTTTTCAACTTAGGTAACAGTCCAAAATCAGTGTAGATGGGTGAAAAACTAGGCAAAAATAGCAAAGAGTGCAGTTTCATTTAGCAAAGGCTCAAGACAGCACGTGGAGACACTCACTGGAAGGTGAGATTCCCTTGCTGCTGCGGTAAGGCAAGCGGCAGCTCCTGTGGGACACTAACGCTGCTGCGCGCCCTCCGGAGCAATGCTGCTGCAGCACAGCGTGGGCACCGCCTCCCCTTAGACCTGCCAGCTCATTCATCAACACCTACCAGGAACACATCAGTGAAAAATACGTCAAATGTGAGTTCTCTCTTATAAGCAATAAAATCACAAAATCAGCTGAGATTTGAAATTTAGGGTAAGCTAGGACAATTTCCTGCTTTTTAATATATAGGTATTTTAGATTTGACAATCGTTTCCACATATACTCAGGCTTACAGAAGAGTTTCAAATATCAAACAGAGAAGCTGTTAATTCGCGCATGTTATGACTTCAGTTAATTCTTCCCGTGCTCAGACTTCAGAGCTGCTAATAACACTAAACTCAATACCGTGTTTGTTGAGTCTGTCAATCAACTTTGTTTTGGAAAAAGCTGCTCCAGGTGTGAAGACCCCGCCCCTAGAAAACAACAAGAAACAGTGCACTCAGCTCCTCTCCAGTCTCCTGTTTCACAGGCCTCACTATCAAATTGCTACAGAACCCATGAAAACCCGTCTTCTTGCTCATCACGGCTACCTTTGATTCCTTCCTAAAACCAGCCAAATGAGCAAGTAGCTATTAGTCAGGAGAAACCTGCACCACAGCCAACCCTATCTAGACTGGCTCCGTTCCTGGTGATCCTGTTTCCATTCTATGCCTGTGTCCAAGGCGCACACTGTGCGCCATCACCCTGAAGAACCGCTGTTGTTTATAAGGACAGTCCTCAGACTCGGGGGGATTAAACAAAGACCCGAATGGAATAAATTTAGGTAATCAATTATTATTAAAGTGTAAACAGAACTTAAATTGGATGAAAAAGAAGTTTTTAAAAATATGATAGCTAACATTCATAAATGCTAAATATTTTCAAGGGGGACCTAAGTATTCGAAACAATTGTATATAGGTTTTACTATGTACAAATTTTACTTTTATTAATCCTGTTTTGGGTCATGCCCGATTTACTTCTCAGCAGCAGGACTCTGTTCATTTGAAAAGCCGGCCTCGTTTCAGGTGAGAGCTAAATGCTCCAGTAAGACAGTACGTCTGATCACCATCTAGCCAGGATCTCATAAGGTTCCGCTTTTGCTGGTGTCAGGCAGGGTTAGCACTGCCAGCTGGGTGTAGTTCAGCACTGACTGGAGGCTCCTAGTAATGCTACTTAACAACAGGGACCTGTTTTGTGTGGCTGGCTCTGGACTTGAGCTATTTTTATAAAGAGCTGAAGTTAACTTATGGCTCTCCGACTTTTCTGTCTCCTCTCATTTACCTCCACAGTTGTTCCTCTGGGACCAGCTCTGGGCTGGTAAGAAGCTGTCCTTCTCAAAGTTTTAATTTACCTGTATTTTTGGAGCAAAGGAACTGAACTACAAATGCTTATGTGCAAACCCAAAGCCTGAAAATCAAATCAAAATAAGCTAAAATATAACACAGATAAAAAAGATATCTTCTAATTGGAAGAAAACCAAACTTACGCCTTAGGCAGATCAGAAGCATCATTTAGAAGAGTCATGGCTGCCTGGACCATAGCTATGGGGGTAGCCACATAACCAGCCTCTGCAGAAAACAGTTGATCAAGGAAAAAGAAAGCATTCATGAAGTATCCATGCAGCGACATCAAAAATCAAATGGTAGATTTTATATCTCACTCTAGGTGTGCAGATTTCTTTTCAATAGATACTCTAGTCACTTAACAAAAATAACATTTCTATAGTATTTATTAAGTGT